ACATACTTAATCCACTGTTTGCTTGTTATGTATTTACAAAAGCCAATTGACTGACTGTTCTTTCTTTTCTAGCATTTCGTAACACAAACATGTCAACCAATTTTATAAGGGTTATTCTTCTTTGGTAGGTATTTAGAATCAACAGATTTTACTGGAAAATTATAAATAATTTGGTAGAGTTGTAGAAAAGGACACATTTTTACTTCAATGAGGAGGAATTGTAGCAAAAAAGGTTATCATTTCCACTCAGGAGATAAAGTTAAAAAAAAAGAAGGACCAAGTAACCTAAATATGTTTCAGCCCAAGGTTAAATAATAAAAGTCCGTAATCGTAACTCAAACTCCCAGTACTCAATCGAGTTTCTGACAACATTATAAAAATAAATATGTATATATAAAGATAAGGAGAGTATGCTTACTAAACTTTAAATATAAAGATAAGTAGATGTGGTATGATTGGCAATCAGACTGTGCTAAATGTACTAAATATTGGGACGATCCAAAATTGTATCAAGTTTGATACTTTTGTTTTGTTTGTCTAAAAATGATAAAAACTACAATTTATAACCACAAACCGATATATACTTAAAATTTGGTCCCTTCCTCAGAGGTCCTCAACACAAAATACAGAACAAATACCAACCTCTATAAAAGGAATACACACACTCACACACACTCGTTCAGCGGAAGAATAGGGTCATGTTAAACAAACAAACAAATGATGTCGTCTTCAATAGACATGAATTATAGTATAATATCTAGCTAGGCTATACATTAGTGGGCTGATCATTATGATCATCGCTCTTAGATACTTGGTCTCACTTATTTATGAACAAATGTTTTGGTAATATATATAAAGAGGAATAACAGAGAAAAAAAACTGGACAGTAAAACAGACCACGTTAATCATCAACATCCGGCTAAAAATTAGTCAACCAAAGACAAGAAACATCATTTAACACATGAGGGTCTGAAAACAAGGGGGGGGGTACTTCATTTCTCTATTCTTAATTTTGTTATACCATTTTTCTCTATTCTTTAAATTATTCCAGACGTCGAGAACCTAAAATGTAACTATCTCGAGAAAAACAATATCGTTACTTTCTGTTAAAAAAGCTGAACATAGTACATGCATATGTTAAACAAACCTGAATAGTAAACGAATCCTATAAACATAAGAGAAAATATCCACAACCGACAAAAAACCACCATTGTTTTCCTTCCTTCTAGATTAAGGAATGGATGATCGATTTAAACAATAATAAACCACAGAGATATCCTTGTTTGAATAAAGATATCGACTGTTTACCTTTTATTTCACTTGTCAGTTTATTACATGTATATATTGAATTTTCGAGTGGTTAAATATTTTAATAAAAGTTTTATAAGATAAATGTGTCTCTTCCCTTGTATGCTCATTCTTTATAAGACATTTTGACAAACTTGTGATTTGAAGTACATAGCAGTACATGTACATTTTATCTATTGATATGCATGCACATGTAAATAAAATTATCGGTGCATTATACATTATCTTTAACTTCCCCAAATATGTACGCTTTAAAGTGGTACCTAACACTACAGGGAGATAACTCTGTAAAAATCAGCTAAACGTTTTAATTACGTTGTATTGCTAAGGAAATATTACGCTTCTCAATGATCAAAATTAGTGTTTGTCAAACTGCTATATAACCAACGAAATTTTTCTGATAAAGTGGTTGGTTCAAATTCTTTGAAATTTTTATATTTTTGTCAAAGGGTCAAAGTAAACATTATGTCAAAATTTTATGAAAATTAAACGAGCCAAATTAATTTTAGTCAAGGTGTTGGGTACCACCTTAAGACTATTAAGACGGTTTTAATTGTAATGTTTGTTTTCTCCTTGATATTTTTTTTTCATTTTTAATGTTATTTTTACACCAATTACTATCAAGAGACGCATTGAAAAGTTATGAAATTTCAAAGGCCATTTAAAATCAATAATATCACAGTTTAAATATAAAAAGAAGATGTGGTATAATTTCCAATTAGACAATGTTCACATGAAGTGGATGTTAAAAAACCTAACCTTAAATTTAAAGAAGTAAAACAAATGTAATAATAAAAACTAACAGTATACAGCTCTCTCACAATTAAAAAAATATGAACGACATTCTATCGAATGCTTTTAAAAGACCTTATTTGTTACGAAATTTGTTTCTGTAATAAGTTTGCTAATAACGCAGATATAAACTTTAAATGGGACCGAGAAATAGATTGATTGATTGATTGTTGGTGTTTTAACGCCACGTTTAAGCGTCACATTTGGGCTATTTCTTGGCCGCCAGATTTTATTTGTTGAGGAAGCCGGAGTGCCCGGGGAAAACCACCGACCTTCGATAGGAAAACTGACAATCCTAGTCAATTAAGATTGGATTCGAGTGCACCCGCAGGCGGGGTTCGAACTCACAATCGCAGTGTTGACTGGCTAGTAATTACAGTAGTAGAACTACTTAGACCACTTGGCCAACGAGGCCCCTCCGAAAAATAGAAGAAAAAAAAAACAAACAGGGTCATGTCAAGCAAGCAAACAAATGACGTCGTCTTCAATAAAGTTGTCGCGGTCTATACGAAATCCAAGTTAAAGCTAAGCTTTTAAGGTGGTACCTAACACTACAGGGAGATAACTCTGTAAAAATCAACTAAACGTTTTAATCACGTTGTATTGTTAAGGAAATATTAAGCTTCTCAATGATCAAAATTAGTGTTTGTCAAACTGCTATATAACCAGTGAAATTTTTCTGATAAAGTGGTTGGTTCAAATTATTTGAAATTTTTATATTTTTGTCAATGGGTCAAAGTAAACATTTTGTCAAAATTTTAGGAAAATTAAACGAGCCAAATTAATATTAGTCAAGGTGTTGGGTACCACCTTAAATAGTGTTTGTAACAGAGGTGTTGACTTAATCATCACATTCATATTATGTATGTGCCTTTCCCAAGTCAGGAGCATGTAATTCAGTTGTTGTCGTTTGTTTGTTCAGTGTTTTGTATATATATTAATCTAGCCGTTAGTTTTCTCGTTCGAATTGTTTTACATTTGTCAATTCGAAGCTTTTTATACATTTTGTTTGTAGCTAACTATGCTTTATGAGTTTTTCTCAATGCTGAAGGCCGTACGGTGACATATAGTTGTAAACTTCTATGTCATTTTGTCTCTGGTGGAGAGTTGTCTCATTGACAATTATACTACATCTTCTAATATTGATGGCCCCGCCGCAGTGGGAAGATGGCATTAGTTGTTACTCATGTTAGTTCGTACGTTCGTTCATTTGTACGTCCAAAATTAGCGTCGTTCTCTAACTTAAGTTTGTCTCAACCAACTGTTATGAAACTTATACACAATGCTTGTTACCAAAAAAACAGATCAAGTTCTAATTTTGTTGCGTCATTTTTATCGTTATTTTTACTGTCTTGAGAGTTATGTCCCTTTATATCGTTAGATGCAAGACGGGGTATTGTCCGTATCGCATGTACAATTTCTCCATTTATTATATATATAAAAATTATTCCTTTTTCCACTTTTTAAATGGATAGCTTTTGACTAAAAATATATCAAAAAGTATTGTTCCACGATATATATGAAATTATTGACAAAAATCTAAATTGAACTATATTTGATAATTTTTCCTGTTTCCGGAAAATCGTGAAACACATCTTAGTTTATGACTCAAAGTAGTAATTTCTGGTTTTGAAATTTTGTCAGTTTCCGTACACAATCTTCTTTGTTATCTTTAAATAGAATAAATTTGATCCTGTTATCATTATAAAATCTCAGGTTTTACTTTTTAAAATACTAATTCCGGTCTTCTTTTCCTCGAATGTGACTTACCGAATTTCACTTATCACATGTTTTGTACATATATGAGCATAACGACGGGCGCCACGTGTTGAGCAGAATCTGCTTAACATTCCGGAGCACTCAGGTGTTTGTGTTAGTGTTGCTCAGTCTAACAGTGTCCGTTATTGTAAAGAAGCGATCATTTTTTGACAACTTTTCGCAAAGAAAAAATCTTTTTCAAATAAAATATTGAGTACTCTCTCTACTTGTCTGAATCCGCAACTGTCTTATTTCTCACTCTTTGTTATTATATTATTTTATTTGTTATTAAAAATAATCATGTCATCAAATACTATTTAAATGGGTCTGGGTGGGTTTCAAGAATAAACAAATTGCAAAAAAAGCAGAATAAAGGACTAAAAAATATAGAAAATAGGGCGGCTAAGGCAAATAAATAAATAATGGAGAATAATGGGGTGCTAAAATATGCGGACAAGAGAATAAAAAGTTAGAGAGTAAAGAAATGAAGGACCCCAATCCAGACTTCTATTTTACACGAGGAATCGGTTGATCAATTACGAACAATTCTAAAAACTTGTTCAATATCATCAGGAAAAAATAAATATATACAACAGTTACTATACTTTCATTAATTGTGATTAATTGCCAAAGTTTAACATAAAACTTCTAAAAGATCTGTCTATCTCCCCAGTTTTACATGAAAAGCAAGCACTTTATGCACATAAAAAAGTCTATTTTAAACCTTGCTATGCGGTATGGGATTGGTTCATTGTTCAAGGCCGTACGGTGAGTATTATAGTCTCTAACATTGTACATCATCTGGTCTCGGGATAAGAGTTATCTCATTGGGAATCCTACCACATGTTATTTTTATGTAACATAATCTGTGTCGTTTTCTGAATGAAATAAGAAGACGATAAACTCTTCTCAAAACACATCAAAACCCCATCCCAACACACACACACACACTACTATTAAAATCCAGAATAAAACACAGAAAGAAAAAGGGATACCCATTAGTGGTTCGTGTTGCTCAGCCTTTCCCTTTGTTGTCTGGTGTATGTATTTTGACTAATTTACAAACAGCCCAAATTTACTTATTTTTATATTTAAGAGGATGATTCACTAACGGTGTCTTCTTACAAGTTCAGACTTATACACATCTTTCAAAGGTAAATGGTATTAGGTAGATAAAGCAATGCATAAAAATCTTTAGCCTTGACCAAAAATAATGCGTTATTTGCGTTTAAAAAAACATTGAGATTTAATTTGAGAAGAAAAAACAACGTTACGAGATTTGTTTGAAAATCACTACAACACCACATAACACATTCAGCCATGTTTTTATCTGTAGTATTGATCCTCCATCAATCTGAGGTCCATTACAAAAGTCTGTATCGCAGATTGTAACGCATACCAATGTCTTGTTTGATCACTTTGCATAGATACACGTGGTGTGATTGAGACTAGGTTCAAGGTCATTAAACCTCGGATCTTGAATCGAGTAGCTCCTGTCGGTATTGTGACAGTCTCGTATTTATGCAAGCGTTTTTCCTGTAATATGATACTAATGAAAATATACCACATAAATATAACGTATCATTTGGTCGAAGATGAAGAAACAATTACTAATACAAAGACAGAAGCTATCTTCAAAGCGGTAGGAGACGATTCGAACTTGTTAATAATACTACTAAAAATTCTGTTTGGGATTCAATTTGTATCCATCTGATGAGATAATAGATATAAGCAGATGTGGTATGAGTGCCAATGAGACAACTCTCCATACAAAATTGCCTTTTTCAACTGATTTTTAGCTATCACTTTGCGTCCGTCGTCGTCCGTCCGGTGTAAACTATTTCAAACCACTTCTCCTCTGAAACTACTGAACCAATTCCAACCAAACTTAAGCTGAATGATCCTAATGGTATCTAGAAGAGGTTTGTGTTTTATTTTCTGTTTCGTCAAAAACACGGGCGCTATGGCTACATTGGGGGTAAAATGCAATTTTTGGTTTATATCTCAAACACTTAAGCATTTTAAGCAAATCTATGTTAGGTCAAGTTCTATCAGCCATGAAATTTTCAGATGAATCTAACAACCGATTGTTGGGTTGCTGCCACTAAATTGGTAATTTTAAGGAAATTTTGCAGTTTTTGGTTATTATCTTGCATATTATTAATGATAAAGATAAACTGTAAACTGCAAAAATGTTCAGCAAAGTAAGGTCTACAAATTAGTTTTATATGACCAAAATTGTCAATTGACCCCTTAAGGAGTTATTGCCCTTTAAAGAAATTTTACACAATTTGTTCATCATGTTTGCTTACTTTCAAAAATCTTCTTCTTTATAACTACTAGATCAATTTCACCCAAGCTTAGACTGAATGATTTTCAGGGTATCTAGTATAAAGTTTGTGTTTAACCACTATGGCTAAAATAAAACATAGGGGTAAAATGCATTTTTGTTTTGCTTTTGAAGTAAATATGACCGATACAAAGAAGCTTTAAATGGCATTTTTAAGGACACATCACTGTTCATTAAAAAGCAAAAATAATCATTGATGAAAGATTTAAGCAAAAATTTACAGGTGAGCGATTCAGGCTCTTGAGAGCTTCTTGTTAAAGTTCGTTCTTAGTTGTACTGTTGCACCACTGTCCCAGGTAAGGGGATGGTTGGGATCCCGCTAACATGTTTAACTCCTCCACATTCTGTATATATGTGCCTGTCCCAAGTCAGGAGCCTGTAATTCAGTGGTTGTCGTTTGTTGCTGTGTTACATCTTTGTTTCTCGTTCATTTTTTGTACATTAATAAGGCCGTTAGTTTTCTCGTTTGAATTGTATTACATTTGTGATTTCGGGGCTTTTTATAGCTGACTATGCGGTATGGGATTTGCTCATTGTTGAAGGCCGTACGGTGACCTATAGCTGTTCATTTCTGTGTCATTTTGTCTCTTGTGGAGAGTTGTCTCATTGGCAAACATACCACTTCTTCTTTTTTATAAGAAATGCGTTTGGGTAAGATGTTCAAACCTGTTCAGTGGCTTGATACATGTACAGGCATGATATACTCATTAATTATGTAGAATGTTTTGATAAATTTAAGTACTGAAACAAGTCTTATCGAATTAAATTAAATTATATTGTATGATGAGACTTCAAAACAACATTTTAGGATTGTTCTTCTTAAGTGGCAATATGCAACAACCTTCCGTATTTACCCTTGTCCATTTCCTGTAGAAGCCATAATTTCCAAATTAGTGCGGTTTATCATATCGTTGAATAATTGAGTGGTCGTCATATTGGTAGCTGAACTGTTCTGTATTGTGCGTTTTAAAGCTAACAACATACGGTCTAGGTAAATTGGAATGTTTGTCTGTATGAAAAACTGATTTTGTGCATGTACCAAGTCGAGTTATTAACACTATGAGCTGTTGTTTGTCTTTGTTTTGTAAGTCGGTTTTTTGTCATGGCAGAGTTGGTGAAGTCTGTAAAACTGTCCAGTATTGTTTTGTGTTTTCTGTGATCTTTTTAATTTATTATCGTGCATACCCATTTTGGACACATACCGGTATTAAAACTCAACCAGTCTATCTTTTTTGTGTTTTATTTGTACTAGAACACACCCGCGAAATCGCGGGTATTTAGAGCTTGGTTGAAAGTATGTAAACTGTTGTAGGAAGAATTTTTGTAAAAGATTTTGTCTGGAGAATTTCAGAAAAGGTATCAAACTGAGTCATAGGCACTTGGAGACAGGACAATTATTTTAAGCCCTCTCCCTTTGTTCCAAAGTCCGTTACTTTTTTTCTCTCTGTTAAATTCCATGATTTTCGCGTTTCTGTATCTATGAACATACATATAATATAAATAAAGTGTATTTGCTATTAACTATCAATTCCAAGTTTCTTCTCCTTGGCGATCACTGCTATATTATATAGAGAGTCTCTATATATTATAGGATTATAATCATAGTATACATGCAGAATAACGCGAAAATAATTGTCCTGTCCCCGAGTAATTATGAAAATTATGTTTAAAGAGGGGAGTAAAGGGGGGGGGGTGGTATCTGCACGGAAGAACGCGAAAAAAAAATTGCCATTTCACGATGAGCGAACAATTAAAAATGTCTTGCACGTTGATCTTTTTATCGATTTCAAGAAATACGGTGAATAACGAACCTTTTTCACGGCTGCACGTGAAATAAAAAGTGGCAAAACACGTTGCACGAAAATAACCCTTTACCCCCCCTCTTTTAAAGTTTAAAATCGGAAGTCTTGGGTATGACTTAAAAGTCGGTCTGATGACGAAAACAATATCCGGACGCCTTTTTTCTTCGTTTTTCTCCCAAAATAACCCAAACTTAGTAATCATAAGAATGGATGACAAATGCGACTATGCATGGTACCTATAGGACACAGAGGCATGATGATTAATTTATTGGGGAAGGAAAAGAAGCGACACACAAAATGAGGTCTTATCGTTTAATAGTATAGCTGTATGTTCGATTTGGATATTTAAGGCAGTGATGTTGTATGTCTGTGATGTTTGTTTACACTGCTGTATCCCACTTATTGTCAATTGAACCTTTTATGTCTGTTTGTGTTTCTCATCCATTGTTGTCAAAATAACAGAAATAATAAACAACTGCCATACAAATGGGAAGTATAGCTTTTATAACCTCCCCCCCCCCCCCCCCCCCCCCCCCCAAAAAAAAAATATTTACCCCACTATTTTCTACTACAAATGCTTATACTAAGTCAGGAATAGGACAGTTGTTTTTCATTCGTTCCGTCATCTGAATTTATGGACCTCCTCTTTTTAATTTACCTTGTAGTTCGGTATTTTTGTTATACTTTATTAAACGTTAGAGAGTCTATCATGATATATCTCACCCTGTTCTTCAATTCTTTCTATGATACAGATTTTACTGGTTTTTGAACAATCCTTTAAATATTTATATGGTACTTTGTCCTTATCCGGATCCGGCTCTTTTAGAGAAGTATTCCGTCTGTAGTACTCTGCTTCCATGCCGGCTGTGTCTGTTACACACGGTCCTCCGATTGAACTATCACCGCATTGGTAACACCATAACGCATCTGGATATACAAAAATTATTTAGATTTTCTTTTAATATTCAGCACACTTAGTTTTGTTTTGTAATACACTAGGCCGGTTTTTTTTCTAATTTGAATCGTGTCAATTTTTTCATATTGGAGCCTTTTAAAGCCGACAAAACTTTTTTTTTCTCATTGTTGAAGGCCCTACGATTGCCTATAATTGATAACACCCACTTAATTTAAATGTTGGTTGAAATTCGTCTCATTTGCATTCATACCATCTTCCTATTTAATATTTATCTAGGTGGCCAGTTGTGGTAGAAACGGGAGTACAGGGAGAGAACCTTCGGCAACAAAACTGGCCGTCCTGGTCATTTGTGACCTGAGTAAAAAGCACCTGTCACGGCTGACCTTCGGCAATAAAACTGGCCGTCCTCGTCATTTGTGACCTGAGTCAAAAGCACCTGTCACGGCTGACCTTCGGCAATAAAACTGGCCGTCCTGGTCATTTGTGACCTGAGTCAAAAGTACCTGTCACGAACGGGGATTCAGCTAACCGCCTATAAGTGTTACCAGGCTAGTGACAATGTAGATCAACGGCTTATACCACTTGGCCTCATATGTAAAAAAAGACGACCATTAACGATGTTTCATACCTGGGACAGAAACATAAATATCTCACTAAGTTGAACCAACTTTTTGAGATATTTTAATAGCTCGATATTCGATGGGTTTTTCAAGCGAAACGAGTTTCTCAGTTACAATCAAATTGAAGGGCAAACGACATCTTCGAGTTTGAAAGACCATTGATAATCTGTTGATCACTTTTTTGAGGATGTTAATTTGACTTAAATTCTCCCTCGCCATGCTCGTCCGAATTTAGAACATTTCTTTACTAAAATCCTTGGTATAATGAATAAAACAAAACTCTAGGTATAGGTTTAGTTGCTCGCAGTAACTTTTCTCTTTTCTAGCAAGCAATGTTTAATAACATTATAAACCAACATATTATAACAACAATATTCAAAGTACAACCACAATTGTCCAATACATTTAAATGGACTGAAATCAAACTTGATATTGTAATCATACATTAGTATGCGACAATAAACTGCAAACTGACTGTCGTAGTTACTGTGAGCACTTTCGATGAAATGACACCTACAAATTTTCTTTATATAATATAACGGAACCCCACCTTTTAAACCGCCAAAGTATTTCACGTGCATATATTACCCATATATATTTATAACCAGAAACAAGAACCCGTTATACAACTACTCTCACTAACCAGTTTTGAACTTATAAATAGTATAACTATAACACAGGGAAAACCCCAAGTCTCAACGAAAAGAAATTTAAATTGGCACGTGCGCTTATAATTTGTAACGCTATATTGTGTATCTTTCTTTTTGTCTTTTTTTGTGCTAATTTTCTATATCATGTTACTCGCTTGGTACCCTCTTTGACTAGTGAATTATCTACAGCTAGCATTTTGTGTTCGTTACTCCAAAAAAAAAACACCAAAAAAAATGTTGATGAACCTTTCGTTGAGATTGTAGCTGAGAAACACCCTTTCGTTTGGAAAAAAACATCGATAATCTATAAATCTCAAGCGTTTTATAAAAAAATCTCAGAAAAAGATCAAAAGAATACTACACAAAATAGTGATAACAACCGTCATTCTATTAAAATAAACAATCTATGTAAAATGGATAACAAGAAAGGTTTAAATAAAGGAGAAGTTACGATATAATGCATCAGTCAAATGATATCTTTCTGATGCTAACAGATGTTAGTGTCAGTATTTAAGTATATATAGTAAAGGTTTCAAACTTCATGTTTTTAATGCGAAAATGCACATATGCCCAAAAAAGTTATGAAAATGGTAAAAAATAGCCAACAAATATTTTCAATAAGATATCCTAATTTAGCAACTACAAAGATTATGATGAGGCTGAACTATTTATTGACTATCGCTGCTGATTTTTTTCCATAAACTTGTTTCAAAATGACACTTGTTTTGTCTTCATTCGAGTAACTCAATTTCATCCTGTTTCAAAGGTCAAGTGACACTACAAATGACATTTCTGTACTATTGAGGGTGAAATAAAGTTTTTTTTTCATACCTTCACATTTAATATAAAGCATGTCCTGTTTTGTTACCAGTTATTTAGTTTGATTTTAGATTTACGTTTGTAAAAAATGATTTTTGTTGGTTTACAAAAAATAACAGTTGTTGTCAAAGGTGTTTTGTGCTTGTTAACACGATTTTATTTTGTTTACAATGAGATGTTTGTAAACAGTGATTTTTGTTGTTGTTCAAGTTTTGAAGGGATTTTGCTTTGAAAGCTGGGAATCGAGATTTTTTACAATGATATTTGTTTGTTGAGCGAGATGATTTTTTGTACAGTAAATCATGGTTTGTTTACAAATAAGTAAAGGTAATGACGGAATTGATTTGATTGATTGATGTTTGCTTAAGGCTAGTGGCAAAACTCTCATAAATGTTAAAACGAGAACAAATTAAGAATAGATACATTCTACTAATTACGCTCCTCGGCTCTTCGAGGATATAACTATAGCATTCATTTCCCGATGGTCAACGAGGCATCTCATTTAAAAGAGGTCAAAATCCTTGACGTATGGGTATGACGTAGCTATACCTAGCTATAAATACTGCGGCTATTACCTGTGCCAATCATATTATTTTTCGAGCAGCGAGGTGTCTAACTCGTTAAATCTGACACGACGTCCAGAATTTTAAGATTTTGTAAAACTGAGAACGTTGTTCCAGTAAAAAAATGTTTTATAAGCATTAGTTATCTTGAGAACTTTATATCCAAGTTCGTTAATACAACGTATTTTATCGTTGTTCTATTTTCTAAACCTTGTTCTAAAAATACACGTGTACTGTGGTGTGTAACACACAGGTGCTTATCACGTAATCAATGGTGGACCGAATGTGTTCTCTTTTAAATAATTTTGACATTTTTTCGTCTAAATAAATTGATACATTATCGTAGCTATTTTAACACGAATGAATCTCTATACGGAAGTGTTGAGTAGAATATTTTTCTTGATTTTCAAGGTAAGTGCAAAATGTACGAAGGTGTACTCGTATATTCTTGCTATAATGTACCCACGTAGTGACGTACAATTTATAAAAAATATAGCAAATATATTTGAGATTTTATTATCACAAAATGTTGTGATTATAATACATTTCTTATTCCAATATAAGAAACTGTAATGTAGTGCATTGGAATATGCTAGACTTCTTGTCGATATATAGACAATAATAGTGCATTGACTTGACATATCAACGATATAAGGATGAGGCTTAGAAACGGGGAAATGCGAGGCTCTGCCGAGCTTTTTCCCCGTTTCGGGCCGAATCCTTATATCGTTGATATGTCAAGTCAATGCACTATTATTGTCTTTATACTGCAATCTAAAAAAAAAACATTTTTAATTGTTGCTTAATGTGTTAATGTTATTATTTGATTTTAATATTGGGAAACTTCCCCCTTTTATAAAAAGGCCTCATATCATGCAGGCGGAGAAATATACAACACAATGAAATGTACATTACCTGTTGAAACCCGCAATCGATGGTGAACGAATTTGTTTGAGAATGAACTAAAATATCAACAATAAGCATAAAACATAATGATTTATAGTTTGCAAACCAAAAATATTAACAAGTGAAATATGTTTTTTTTCTAAAAATTGCAAAAGAAATAAGTTTGAGTCGTTGTATACATTGGATACAAGAACAGGTTGAATAGGTCGTATGAATAATTAATTATAATTTCGGCAATTTCTATTTAAATATTCATGAGGAAAAGTGATATCAGGTCAGTGACTGTATATGACATAGAAATATACGGTCAACGCATTTTGACTGCTCAAATAGAACGAGTGCAGTATAAACACCTGTATGTGTGTGTTACTATAAATACACAAGGTTAGTGATAATACGGAAGGCATTATGTGCCACTTCCAATCTAAGGTATCTGAAAACCTTTGCTATAGATATGTTATATCAAATAATGATCAAATAGCTAATTTTTAAAATCTTATTTGTCTAAAGCAATTAATGAGCCTAGAGACTTTTATAAGTCCTTGGTGTGTCATAAATGTGACAGCAGTTTCGAATGAACTTACAATATTGTTGAAACTGTCAAGAATATGTGTATCTGTAATACACAAAGCCATTTAAGGCTTCAAAATAAGCTCTTAGTGAGAAATAAACTGTGTTACAGTTGAAACATTTACAGAAATAATATTATGTGATTGATATTTAATATCTGAATATTGAGAGGCCAGTGGAATATCACGGCAAACTTGACCAGAAATAGGTCGAAGTCGGAACATTAGCAAGTTCCTTGTAGAGCATTTAACATGCCACTAACAAACAATCTATTAAGTAGAAACATACTGTTGAAAATAATAGTAAAACAATTATTATTGTTTGAAGAAATCTACAACAATGCAGTTTTAAAATGCAAACTTTTGTTGCATAATTCTGCACATGAAGTTAATCTCATGTCTTTACTATGATTAAGATAAACAAACAATATCCTGCAAGATTTTATATCTTTATCTTGGCAAAAAAATAAAGCAGAGGAGCATTGCTCATTGTGAACTTTAGTTCTTTGCCTTTGAAAAAGAAAAAGTACAATATGATAATAATGTTGTAAATTGTGAGAAGTATGTTGCCAACATATCAAAAATCACTAGTTGATATAAAAAAAGAAAGATCAAAGGATCTTCTGAAAAATTTATATGACTGACATGCATTAGTCAGATGTAAATTCCTTTTTTCATGGATACTTTTTATGATGTTGACAAGTATAACATGCATAATGTTTCCAACCATGCAAGGGCTGTATAGTCAGTCAAGGTCGTTAAAAACTTCCTTATATATGCATAGTGTGGAAGGAAATAAAAATAATTTCCATTGGATGGTTTTATCTTTGCCTTGAAATTCATCAATGTAGATTTTAGATAATGAATTAAATTATTTGACACTTGTAAAATGATACATTCATGTACATTTATTACCATGTTTTTATAAAAGATATCCTCACATAGTGGAAATAAGACAATAGAGTGTTTCAGTCTTATATCTTGGATTGTTATAACATTAATTATGAATATAACAAACAAAGCCTTAGAACATGTAGAATAGATAAACAGTTACTCTTTTCCGAAGAAATAGTTCAAAGTTATTGTTCTCATTAATCAGAACACAATTGTAGATCCTGATCTTGCTGTCTACAAGGTATCAGTAATAGTAAACAACTTTTTACTGTAAAATATAGTTTGAGATACAGCTATAAAAATTATTTAGATTCTGCCAAGAAAGGAAGATTCTTTTCCAAAAGTTCCTATTTTGACTTGCAGAAAATATTGTACAAATGTGCTTATTTTATTAAGACAAATTGTGCTTTACAATCTCAGTAATGATACTAGATTTGATAAGCTATAATATATTTATTAGATTGCAAGTGGTAGCAGCAATGAATGTTGAAGAACTATACAAATGAAAACAGGAAGATTTTTCTCTCAACATGCAAATTTTGCTTTGATGTTGGACATGAAATATCTGACTTATTTTCCTTTTAAAAAGGAATATTATAATGTACATTGGATATGTGCATCACTAATCGTTATGTGACTAAGTGTTGCCTTGTTATAGGCTAAGTCATATCTCTGTAAACAATTGTATACAAGTGTTTAGGGGACTAATCCCCTACACATTTTTCATGTCAGATAGCAAATACTGAAGAAAGTAGTATTACATGAATTTATGTAGAATTTATAAAGTTTCTATAATGATAATCAAATGATTATATTGTATCTATGCATCTGTATTATGGAAATCCATGATGGAAATTAAAATAGAAAATGGTGATCTTTCTAGACTCCATGAACTTGAAATAGAATTGCTATATTGATGCTTTTGTATCATCAGTTAATAAGAATTGACATATTCATAGTATGAAATATATATATATATATATTTTTATGCTCCATCGAGAAATGCATCTTTGAAAAGTATTCTATAAACCATTAGAATTTGCAAAACAAATTGCAAACTTATATTTGTACATGTAAGATGTATCATAAGAATATTGTACAGGAGCAGTTCAAGTCTTGACTGATATAGGTTAATATACAGTAATAGTTATATTCCTTTTTAATATCCAACATGTGTATGGATATCAGGATGGGTGAAGGTCATTTTCAAATGTGACAGTTTACAATGAAGTATAAACTTTGTAACCCTTCTCCAGTTCTTTTTTAAGAAAATTATCAGATTAGCAGATGAGTGTTCACAGAACAGTATTACTTAAATCTTAGGATTTTAAAACATGCTGGATCAAGTTTTAATTCTGGATATATTGATCTATATTAATTCTTATAACATAAGATATTAAATAGCTATACTGTTTTTTGTATAATTTGTTTATACGTAATGAAATATCATAACGATGATACTTTTGAGATGATTTACTTCAGAATGTTACATTAGATGCAGTATGTATATGTCTACTAGACCTAGTCTATATGAAGTGTTGGACTTTAAGATTCAATTTATTATCAATACTGTTTGATATATATATACTATTCATATACTACATACTCATTGTCATAAACAGACATGGAATGTAAATTTACTGAACCAGACACCAAATACTATATTGTAGTTGGTATATTCCAGATACAAATGAATAAGAAGAAATTTGTAAATATAATCACTTTATTAAGTGTCCTGAATAAGATCTACAGTAGAGGCTGATCATCTTTGACATCTACATGTAGCTTTAAATAAGTCAACCTTTAATTAACAGGTGACCTTAGTGTGACAGTAATTTTGATTGCTAAGTTATGTTAAAGTTATGAATATTAACACTTTTTGAAACTTTCGTTGCTTACTTGAGCTTTTGAATCAATTTTTCTGTTCTTACAATATTAAGGACAGACTGAATTGCAAATGTCATGTAAAGAGATAATACTTGTAGAACTTCCAGTGACAGTTTTTTGCTTGTAAATATACTAGATATTTTACCATGGATTAATATTAGATTATTCAGATATACATGATATTGAAAACTTCAGAAGGCTAATGAAAATCTGTATCTGGCAGTGTTTACATTGTTACTTAAACTACTGTCTCCTGAATTTGTCTTCAAATTCTTGTTTTTTTTCATATACATCTGAACTACAGAGAGTGTCATGTTAGAAGTGTACAAAAAAGAAGGGCTAAATAATTAAAAAACTTTCAAATATTTAAGAAAAGTGTTGCCGAATAATATGTCAGTAGATATTTAGATATACAATTAATGGTTTGTAAGCAAGTATCAGGCAAATGTTGTTTTTTTTTTGAAAATTCAAAACTTGTTATATAGATATTGGAAGATGTGGTATGAGTGTCATGCTCTTTATATAGTTAAGAGAATTTGTCCTGAATGTCTAGAATAAGTTATTATTCTTGAAAATAGTGAAATTCAGACTACAAAATATATTGAGAGAAATAGATATTTTGTTGTATATTTATTTTCAAAATTGAATGTTTTTGAAACTATTTATTTTTTATACCTATTGGTATTGGTATACACTATTGGTACTTTACCTTAATATTTAGATTATATTTATTATCAAGTCAGAAAGATTAGTTAGATTGACTACTATCTGAGTCTCCAGTTTATTCTGGACTGATTCAGCAAATTCTGATTTGCTCTTTGTTAGTTGTTCAGGGAACTACTTGTTTGTGCCAACACTTTGAATATGCTATAGTTACATCCTCGAAGAGCCGAGGAGCGTAATTAGTAGAATGGACTCTCATCCAAGTATAACTTGGAGTATGAAGGATGAGAGTCATTCTAGTAATGGAGCCTGAGGCTCAAGAGGATGTAACAATTTACCCACCCAGTTTGGAGGGTACTGTTTGCCCATCCCAATTGTTTTAGTTGCACAAACAAACTTTGAATCATGATTGGCACAGGTTATAGCCGCAGTATTTATAGCTAGGTATAGCTACGTCATACCCATAAGTCAAGGATTTTGACCTCTTTTAAATGAGATGCCTCGTTGTACATCGGAAAATGAATGCTATAGTTACATCCTCTTGAGCCTCAAGCTCCATTACTAGAATGACTCTCATCCTTCATATTCCAAGTTATACTTGGATTAGAGTCCAATAGGTAGGTAATGTAATAGATTCCGTCCGAGATGAAGATAATAGGACAGTTCGACTGCCTCTGAAAAAAGGATATACAACATAGGGACATAGTGTGCCTTTTAACAGACTACTGACGTACCCCTCAAAATGTTGCAAGGATTATCAACGCGATGAGAGCGTGCCACACTCTATACAGGAGGCACAGGGTTTCACGTCGACATTCTGACTGAAGGTGGCCGTAATTGATTTGCCTACTATATAGATTAATTTGGAATTCGGAGATCATAATGATTGTTGTCGGCTTTATGTTTTGAACGTATATTACATCAATACTCAAGATGAAAGAGAGCTAGTTGCAAAGGTCAAATTGCTTAATGATGAGTAGGAAGGACCAATAGGTCAAATGTTAGTAACAAAACAAAAAAAAAAATCCTAATGAAATCCTTGGTCAATAGTTTGTCGGTAAAAACAATATTTGAATCATTTAATGTCTAAATTACGTTTGTGCTGTTGGTCTAAAAACGCTATCCTCTCAAATTCAGGGCCAATTTACTTTTCTTACGTTCCAAACCAATTTTTAAGAGAAATAAATAAGCAGAAAACTGTACCTACTCAGCCTTTTTAACTTACAAAATTGACTACGTCATGAATAAAACAACTTTAACAGAAACATTGTTACATTGTTTTATATATATTTTTACATAATTTGAAATATTTATATAAATACCCCAACCCCAATATTTTAGAAAAAGTATTATGAAAAATAACTTGTAAATATCTACAAACCTGAATATAATATAAGTCCCAAACAAGCTACACAAACAATCCAAGCTCTGATTAAGCACACCATACATGTACTAATAAATACTTTCTTTTCGACACAACTATATTATGTTTGTGTTATAAGACAATCATATTGTATTGTTTTCTTCCTTGTTATATCTTATATATATATAAATATATTACCGTATATTTCATCACTTAATTCACTGGTAAAATTTATTTTATCATTTCTATATGAAAAAAAGGATACATCTTTCCTCCGATCTGCCAATTTCTTGGAAAAATTGACATCAGCGATGATGACCATAAACTACATCTTCAATTTTGATTCTATTCTATATTGTATACCCAATAAACACTATACAAAGGATTATGACAAAAATTAAAAACAGACAACAGAATCAAGCAATCGGAATATTTAGTGCATAGTGTAATATGTCAAAATTTAAGTTACCGCTTTAACAAGAGGCTTTTATACTAAATTCATACTGAACGAAATCGAATTTAACAATTGAGCATATTTTTTTTTAAATTCAAAAGATACATGTATTGCTTAAATCATACAATAATGATGTAAAACTTAAGAAGTAATTCAAGTAAAATGAAAACGTTTTGTCAGTAATAGTCAGTACACAAATAATCCAAGCTCTGATTAAGCACATCATACATGTACTAATACTTTCTTTTCGACACAACTATATTATGTTTGTGTTATCAGACAATCATATTGTATTATTTTCTTCCTTGTTGTATCTTATATATATATATAAATATATTACCGTATATTTCATCACTTAATTCACTGGTAACATTTATTTTATCATTTCTATATGAAAAAAGGATACATCTTTCCTCCGATCTGCCAATTTCTTGGAAAAATTGACATCAGCGATGATGACCATTAGACTACATCTTCAATTTTGATTCAATTCTATATTGTATACCCAATAAACAATATACAAAGGATTATGACAAAAATTAAAAACAGACAACAGAATCAAGCAATCGGAATATTTAGTGCATAGTGTAATATGTAAAAATTTAAGTTACCGCTTTAACAAGAGGCTTTATACTTAATTCATACTGAACGAAATCGAATTTAACAATTGAGCATATTTTTTTTTTATTTAAAAGATACATGTATTGCTTAAATCATACAATAATGATGTAAAACTTAAGAAGTAATTCAAGTAAAATGGAAACGTTTTGTCAGCAATAGTCAGTACACAAATAATCCCCTTTTTTATTTGCCTCTTAGTTAAGTACGTTTGCTATACTTATTAGAAAATAGATGCCAATGTAAAATATATACAAACTTTAGAGAAAATCATTAACCGCTTAAGATGTTTGTACCTCAAAACAATGACACTGGCCTTCCCTTTTATTTTTGCTTTTAAAGTTCAGTTTTATACGTACTATCATTTGGTTGAGGTCTTTTTAGAAGCCTAAAATTTTTATACATAGGAGCAAATATTCTCAAATTAATTTGATATTTTTTTTTATTGCTAAAATCAATTTGGTCATGATTTGGGGTCACTGGTACACAATGTAACACATTATTTTCGGTTATTTCAAAACGTTACTAACCTATGCCTAGAAAAGAGAAAATGGTTTAAATGGCAAACTTAATGTTACTTCTAAGAATAAAATTAGACACCATTGCATGATTTTTTACATTTTCTTTACTTTTGTAGTATTTGTATATAAATGTTAATACTCAACATTCGTTTTGCGACATTATTGATTTCAACTTTTAAATAGTCAATTTCAATATTCCACATTTGTTTTTCAACATTTGATCCCAATATTCAACATTCATTTGTTAATATCAAACATTCATTTCTAACATTTAACATGCGATTTCAACATTGAACATTTAAAAAAAAAAAGAAATATAAAATATTGAAATTAAATGTTAAACGCTGAAAAACGAATGCTTAAAATTCTGTCTCATAGACGAACATGCCACATCCTTCTTTTTTATGTGTCGTTAAAGTACTCTCTCATTAACGGATATGACATTTTTATACTTGTGTCGTTAGGTTACTGTCTTAATGACGAATATATATATTATATATATACATATTACATGATATGACCGTTTTTATTCTTTGGAGTTATGTTTCATTAACGTTTATGCCGCATCTATCTCTCTTTTATTATTTGTGTCGTAAAGGTGTAATACCACCATTGATTTTCCCCTATTAGTCTTTGTCAAATTTTCAAAAAATTGTGCAGAATTTATCTTTGTTTCTAATAAAGAAATACTTGGCAATAGTAAAGTTTTATTCTGTCCAATACTATAGAAAAAATTTCACATAACATTTCATTGCATATAAAAAAATAACCATCACTAGAAGTTAACCAATCAAATTTTCGCCTCTTTTTAACCTGTGTACAAGCTTTAGTAACCATGTAACCTCAAGTTTCCAAAATATTCTATAGAAACCCCAAATAAAAAAAAAATGGTGCTTTGAAATACCCGAGATATATGTTTATGACCCAGAAATGTTTTACTGCAATGAAATGTAGGATTAATTACCTACAACTATCAAATTCAAGGGAATATTTTTTTCGACCCTTTTTCGTATGCAACCGGATGTGTCGTACTATGATTTGGTGGTATTACACTTAAAGTCTGGTTAACGTATATGCCACATTTTTTTTTAAACATTATATATTTATTCACCAAATATGCTTGTTACATTGTTACTTCAAGAAACCAAGCTTTACTTGACGTATCCTATAATATTCCACTGATTACCCAGGTTAGTAGTCAGCTGCTGGTATATATGTATGTACACATTTCTTGAAATACAATTGTACAACATTTTTATGCATTATGATTTTATCTATTCAATCGTCTATACTTCTTTTTAGTATGGATTAAATTTCATTGTTCTGTTTTCGTTATATCTTTTTATGTATTCTTGAACAAAAATTTGATAAACATTTACATTTGTCAATTTCTGATTAGATACATTGTATGATTTGTATATAGAAAAACCTACAATTGTTTGGAAATAATTCAGACCAAAATAGTTTTTCTCAAAAATTTACACTTGACACTTTTAATTTGCAAAACACTCATTTGCAAATCCACCGCCGCCTCTCCTTAGAGCTACAGTGTCATGTTTATAACCAAAATGTGCAGAATTACATGGAATTCAATAAATCCATTGCTTGTCTGCTGTTATTATTAAATATATTTTGCAATTTGATTTAGAAAAACATGGGATTTTCAATATACCATGGGACAGGGCAAATTCCCATGGGATTGACCATTATCCCATAGGATTTTGGTTAAATCCCATGGGGTTTGGTTGGGTCCCATGGGATAATTGTAGTCCCATGGGACAAAAAAAATCCCATGGGACTATAATTATCCCATGAGATGATTGATTTCCTTTAAACATCAATGAAATTAAGTACAGTGTTTTTTTTGTGTTTTAGTTATCCAGTTTACTAGTATTGTTTCTATGGTTGATGAATCTTTTTAGTTGAATATTTTTAATCCTTGGATATGTTTATGCAATATATTGTTTTATAACTGTTCAAAACTAAACATTTTTACAACTAAGCAGATAATGTAAGTATCAATATATGTTTATTTATGAATTCTAGAATACCTTTTTTTTTTGAAAAACAATTATTTCACATTTGATATCAATGAAAACATTTAAACTCTATTATTAGGCTTAACATAGCTATTTACATAAATATCTTTTTTTCAGGATATCCCTCCACCCACATAATAAAGTTTCTTATCCAGCATTGTGTGATATTAATGTATAGTCCATTTTTTGGCCATTCAGCACAGAACATTGTCATGATTATGGTTTCAGTATCTATTGGTATTTAATAGAACTTCAATTCATTGACTGATGAAAATAATAACTGATCTGACTTTTGTCTTTGAATTTATTCTGGTCTTGTTTCTGTGTTTTCTCCTTTTATTCTAAATAAACTCATCATAGATACCAGGATTGAAATTTTATATTTGCACCAGACGCGCGTTTCGTCTACAAACGACTCACCAGTGACGTTCGAATCAAAAAATGTTAAAAAGGCCAAATAAAGTACGAAGTTGAAGAGCATTGAGGACCAAAATTCCTAAAATATTTTGCCAAATACAGCTGAGGTAATCTATTCCTGAGGTAGAAAAGCTTTAGTATTTCAAAAATTTTAAGTTTTGTAAACAGTTAATTTATAATTATGAACATATCTAAGTGATGCATTTCAATCCTGATGAAAAAGAACCAATAAAATCCTAAGTTATGGATAATAAAATGTGTTTGCATACATGTAGCAAGAACATATCATTTTTAACAAAAATAGCTATGCGGTATGGATTTTGCTGATTGTTGCAGGTCGTCCAGTGTCAACAGTTGCTAACCTCCTACATCATTTGGTCTCTAATGGAGATTTGTCAAATTGGCAATTATTCCGCATCTTCTAATTCTAATATTATATAACAATTAATTTATGTATACTTCTCTATAAACATTTGCGTATTGTTAAAACTTTAGGCAATTACAATAACATTACATTTTTCACAAGAATTTGCAATATATACAAAACGCCAACAACAGAACCAGCAATACTTTAAGCCTCTGTAAGAGTTCAACTTCTGCATGTTCTGTTTTATTTCAATAAGAAAATACCTTGAACTCTTAGGACGTTAGAACATTGATACAAAAAAAATTATTTTGTTTTTTTTTTCTTTTTTTTGTGTTGTTCGGTTGCTGTCTCATTTTTATATATGTTTATACATTCATCCTAAATCTTCTTTTTTTTATAATATAAATTATTAATAGTTAAAATGGGATATTTTTGATTTGATAATCTCAAAACATTATTATTCTATCAAATAACTTACTTCCGAGTTCACAAAACACCAATGTGTCAGATATTAATTTTAATACATGTATTAACAAGCAGTTGTTAGGATGTCATGCAAAAATTCCACTATTATTAAACATTGACAAAAACTCCATACTCAACGACAGTACAGGACACCATGCCCGGCGAACACTAGCATGTGTCAATGTTTAGTCAATTGTGTAATCAGGCTCAAAATCTTAGTCTGGCATTGA